TTACACAAGAGCCCACTGGACAGTTAGAAGTGTTCATTGCTTTACTGTTGAAGAGTATCTTTGGTTCCAGAGTTAATTTTGCCACCGAAACTTTCGCGTTTTCATGCATGAGACCGAGGCATAAGTGAAAGTTGGAATTAAATTTACACGATCGTACGCGGACAGGGAACATCCTCTTAAAATTTCAGCTTGTTGTCTTTTGTGGTTCCCGAGTTATTAATTTTAGTGCCAAAACTTTTACGTGCCCAAATGTGAGATAGAGGTGTACATGAAACCAAATTTAAACTTACGTATTGATATGCAAGCAGGGAGCATTTTCTTAAAATTTGGATGCCCTAGCTTTTTTACATCCCGAGTTATTTATTTATACATCAAAACTTTTACGTGACCTTATGTGGGACATAGGCGTACGTGGGGACTGGATTTGTGTTTAAGGAATCCTCTCTTCCCTTAAATTTTCAAGCTTCCTAGCTTCTCTGGTCCCCAGGTTGAAAATCCCGATAAAACACACTCAGACACACAAAGACGCAAACTCAGGCAATACCTCGGCAGTATGCGTCCTGTGGAACTGTTGCAGCACAAAATGCATAATAATATAACGACGGTTTCGACTCGAATCGAAAGTTTTTAGAAATTACAGAAGTTACTTATTTGACACTCCAAAGTGCTTACTTCTCAACTTCTCCGTAACGGATTCGGCAGTAATTAATGTCTTAGCTTAAATAAGCATTTTTTCGCTTCAGGTAGCTTGCATAACGACCGATTTTGCCATGCAGAACGTACTGCTTCGTTTGGGCCTCAATCTGTTGAGTATTGACGGATACAGAATACGGCAGCTGAAATCATACATTTTGAGGTAGTAAATTTCGGGCCGAAAACGTTTAAAATTTCTGTAAATTTAAAAGGATTCAAAAAAATTATATTTTATGATAATTTTTATGAATAATAGTTTTACCGGTTTGTATTTTATTTTTTTTTATTAACAGTTTTACCGGTTTGTATTTTACTTTTTTCTATTTTTTTGTAGTTTGTCGGCTTGTTAAGGCACCAACTTTGTTTTAAAACATTGTGCTTGAATTGCCTGGAAAGGCGTCTTATTAATATTGTGATTCTTTATGATTCTGTATGTTTCGAGCTAGCATTTGTGTACATTGAGCATCACCACCCCTTGTCGAATATGCCAACTTTTAGGCCATTATAAGTGGTCTTAGCTGTGTTAGTTTTTCAAATGTCAAGTATAATGTACGGCTAAAGTTGAGAAATACATATAGCCCATGGCTAGAAGCTAATCGGATCAAATGCTTTTTTACAGGTGTCGTGCATGTTTCACAACCACAACGATCATGACGAAACGTTTTTGTCCACGCTGTGGCAACAACTGCTTGCATCGCGTCGCTGTAACTGTCAATGAAGATGGTACCATGCAGCTGCACAT